ATGGAATCTAAGAGCATCATCGTATGTTTGGGTGCTGAACCCCATGAATGATAACAGTTTTCTGAAACTGGCCGTATCTGTGCTGTGTAGATCATGAGGAGCTGTTTAGGTGTGGAGTAGATTCTTGAACAAGAATTCTGGTTTTTGTGAGGCAGCTTTTTCATGATTTTCAAATGGAAGAGTATTGCTCAAAGAAATACCAAGCATCGATATAGTGGTCTTGGTAGGAATAGTGGTTCCGGACATTGTTATATGAGGCATATTGAGGTGCGTCTTTCTAGAAAGAATACAGGCTTGAGTTTAAGTGTCGTTAAATTCAACTAGGTTGTTGGATCCCCAGGCTGGACAAATGCCTTATTGACTGTTAAAAACCGAGTCAGACATACATTAATTGAAAAATACCATATCATTTTTGATAATCAGATTGTGATTCCAAATAGATCTTATTCTTTATCATTCTACAATTGCATTGCAATGCATGAAACAATCTATATATATATATATATATATATATATATATATATATATCGTCAAATATTTATTTTACTTGATTCTTTGTGATCTTTTCTCCTCGTTTCTATGAAATAAAAGTATTTGTATTATTTCAATGCTTCCGTTCTCAATGGTAGATTGAAGATCAATTAATGAAAACATACTGTAACTCATTAGTATACTCAAGTCCCTCATTCATATGCCAACATCAGTATGACACTGAAAAGTGTCAAACTATAAGCAGCACAACTTTCAAAGAAACATATTTTGCATTCACATGTTGAGAACGGGAGCAGAATCGGTCCCAAAACGTTCAAAGATAAGTAAAAATTCTATATTTTTTCAATATATCTATATTTAGTTCCTTCGAGAATTTTTTCAAACAAATTGTCAATGACAAGCTACTGGATTTTTCTTTCAGACTCCCAGATAAAAAAATTTGTTAAACTCAGTGACATTTTGGGGCAAATCATCTGATTTGTCCCTCTACAAATATATTGAAATGATACGAATCCTCTCATTTTATAGAAACGAGGGAAAAAAATCTCAAAGAATCAAGTAAAATGAATGTACCTCCTCCTCGATCAACCTACAGACAGTATTTAACAATCATTTGATGATAACAACCGAGATTACAACTGAGATTTCTCTTTCGGTGCAAGAATTGATGGTTACCATTCAAAATGGAAGGATACGTTCATTGTGAAAATCTGACAAATATATTTCTATGCAAGGAGTTGGTTCATTCAATTGAAAATTCGAACACGTGGACAGTTTTTCCCACATCTCACCTGACCCGACTCCTATTTCCCAACGTCGATGTCTTATTTACAGATCCCACAAAGATCCCCTTTGCGAAGAAGAAGTTCGAAAGTTAACGATGGATGATAAAAACTTCGGCTCCACACAACGATTTCTTTTCAAAGGCGAACGATGCCCGAAGTAAATAGCCCAGAACTTCTACGAACCACTGGCACCGAAAGTCAAAAACTTTGTTACAAATAAATGGAAGTTACCTGAAGCGCATACTACCGAGATACTAATAACAATAAGATGCTTTCAGACAATAGATATGTCGTTTTGTTCAGAAACTAGATAGCTTTTGACGCTCTCGTTCCATTGATATGAGAGAATTCGGTAAATAGAATTAGGCGATAACAAAAACACCATTAAAGGAATATTTGGGCGATAATAAGAATTTTCGAATGATAGCACATTTCTCAAAAGAGAGAATTTTCTGCAATAAGTATGTTTCGGGTAGACGTTATTTGATGTTCTGCGTGGCATTAGCCAAACAAGTGGTTGTGTTTCTCTCTCAACCAGCTTTAGATCCTATATGCAACCGTATGGCAGGTGAAGATAACATATAATAGTCATTTATAATACAAGGGAAAATAGTAGTAGATTTTAGCTGAAATCTAATATTTTTTCCGTGTATGATATAATGTTTCTTCGTGTGACAGGGGAAAAGACGAATAGATATTGAGAAGATATTACATGATATTGAAATCAGGAAATTATATCGACGTCAAATTTGAAGTTCTCAACTGGAATTACACCTGCGTTTTAGGCATCTCCATCATTCTTCTGAAGTAATCGAATATCTGTTAGTCTTTTAGTGGTTGTTTGAAAATTTACGTAATCGTGAATATGAAATGTTAATTTTTTTTTTCCGTCACAGAGAATAGTAATTTTCCTGACACGAGCGGAAAGTGATACGTTCCCGAATGCCGTTGACCCAAACAACGTAAAACAAAATATTTCATTTACATTGAATGACTTGAATACAAACTGATTTCGAAGTGATTTAGATAACACTAGAACAGATATTTATGTATAATGAGTTGATTACAACGAGACTTGTGTTCTCGGCAATCTGCTCAGATGGATAGAATCCTATATTGAAAATGGGAGCCAATGCGTTAAATTGAATAACTATTCATCAAACTACGTACAGGTGACCTCCGGTGTACCACAGGGATCACACTTGGGGCCACTTCTGTTTACTCTCTTCATAAACGATATTGGCAACTGTTTTCAGTACTCAAATTTTTCCCAGTATGCTGATGACATGGAAATCTACAAAACAATCAGTAGTATAAACGACTGCATCGACCTCCAATCTGATATTCACAGATTTCAAAACTTCTGCTCTGACCATAAATTACATCTAAACACCAGAAAGTGTCACAAAATATCATTTTCCAGGTTACGAACCAATACAGAATACGTATATAGCTACTATTAATAATGACACCCTCGAAAGTGTTGATCATATCCGTGATCTTGGAGTCATCATTGATTCCAAATTGAATTTTGGGCAGCACATTGAACTAATTGCAAAAAAGTCTCTGAGAAATCTGGGCTTTATATTACGAATAACCAGAGGCTTCAAAACCTCATCATCTATTATCACCCTCTACAACTCACTGGTAAGAAGTCATCTTGAATTTGCGAGTTCCATATGGAATCCTTCGTATCAGAAGTATATTCAACGAATTTAGAGTATAAAAAAAAATAATTCTCTACTTAAATTATAGATTTAACAGGCATCTACACTTCCATGGTTACGAAGCTAGTCTTCGACATTATAAAATCCTGAAACTACGCTCACGTAGTTAGTTATTTAATTTTTCTCCACAAGCTGATTAACTCCAAGATAGATTGTAGTTCAATTTTGGGCCAATTATGTTTAAATTCCAAAATCAGAGTCACGAGAAATAATAACCTATTTTATCACAGGATATATCACACAAATGCATGTGGAAATTCACCTATTCGTCAACTAGAAAAAAAATTTGATTTATATTTTTCTCTTATTGATCTCTTTTGTTTATCTCTCACTACAGCCAGACGATTGGCTATTGATGAATTCACTTGAATGAAATTGAATTTATTGTTTCCTCACCAAATTTTGCATTATATAACTATTAATTTATCATAGAATAGATTAGTTTAGAATATAATAGCGTGTAACCAAAATGTATTACTGAGCATTTCTGTAATTGGGATGTTAACTCATCCTGTTGAAGTGCCTTGAACATAAATAAATAAATAAATAAATGAATAAATAAATAAATAATTTTGCTACGTGTATTTGTATCTGGAAAATGTGATTTCCGGGTTAACAACGGAAGGATGTGCTGACTGATTGGCCTGTCGAGTTCGTCTGAGTGGTATTGCTAGTGATGGAATGATAGCAGAGATTCCCCGTGGAAGTATCTATAGGAAAGTGGAAGGTTGCCGACTATTTCGAGGTGTTCTGATGAAGTCAAAGTATTAGTGAGTGTGCAATCACCCACCAGCCGGATGGCTCTTCTCTGGATGGAATCGAAGTGCATCATCGGATGTTTGGGTGCTGAACCCCATAATATGTGAGAACAGCGTTCTAAAACCGGCCGTATCTGTGCTATATAGACAATGAGAAGCTGTTGAGGTGTAAAGTAGATTTTTGGACTGAATAATAATCCGAGTTTTTGTGAAGTATTTTTCGTGATGATGGCATGATTTCCTCATAAAACAGTTTTGCTGATGGAAATACCGGGCATCGATCTCGGTGAGATCGGTGGTACCAGACATTGTTATATCAGGCGCACTGAGTTCCACTTTTCTAGAGGAGCAACAGGTTGAGTTTCGGAGGCGTTGAATTCAATTAAGTTGTTGGTTTACCAGGCTATAATTTCAGCGAGATCGTCAGTGACAGCGTTGACCTCTACCCTTGTCGTGAGTTCTTATAGTTCCTTGGGAAGATATGGGAATACTAGAACAGAACGTAGTATGCAGAGCTGTGGATAGGGCAAGTGGTTTCTCACAACAGATCATTGATATAAACTAGGAACAATGTTGGTGCCAAAATTGATCTTTGTGGAATCAATGGCAATGACGATACGTCGTACACCACGACATGAAGCGATCTGCCTGAAAGTGAACTCGATAAAAGATGGCAATGGTGGTAAGCCGTATGATGGTAGTTTGTGGAGAAGTCCTTGGTGCCAAACGAGGTCGAATGCTTTTGATAAATGTTTTTTTTTCTGTTGAAGCTTGCTATGTATGGATGTCGTAGGCAAGTAAATTACTTGTTGATCTTCGGTGACAAAAACCATATCGTCTATTATTAATTATCCCCGAGTTTTCCAGCTTTTCGATTAGCTATGTTGATGGCTTTCTCCATCACTTTGGAGATGACTTATAACAGAGAAATTGGCCTATAGTTGTTGAGCAGGCTTTTGTTCCCTTTTTTGGGGGTTGGTTGGACTGTAGCTATTTTCCAGCAAGATGAAAGAATAGCCGACTTGAACGAAATTGTGAATAACTTGCAGAGAATCGGTGTAGATTCTGGTTCATACCTTTTGAGAACAATCGGTTGAATTCCACCAGGACCGTTAGCCTTATCCGATTTGAGACCAAGTAGGATTCGTCTGATAGTGCGTTGACGAAAGACGATTCCAGACATTCGACTTTCAACTCTCTTTGCTTATGTATATTTCATCAGTTGTCTTCTTTTCCAGATAAACGGCAGCTATCTGAAACGTCTCCAGCCTCCAGACCCATTCAGCAAAACTTCCTCTTCGAGCACCAAACGAACTCCCGCCATATCTATTTCGGGCATCGAACTAGAAATCGACGAGAATACCTTCCACGGAGGGAAAATGAGGTTATCTTGCGTCGCTAGTATCTTCAACTTGTACAGGCGGGAGCGCGATCTCGTTCTGGAAGAGAGTAGGCCTAGACCAAGGCCGTCATCTGTTTTGGGAACGAGAGACGCTTCAGCATCAGGTGAGTTCCGAGAGATATCTGGAATAGGTAGTCACCATTCATAGCTGAATAACTTCTGATATCAGCTGTTTTGGGAATACTAAATATATTCGACTGGTCGACTCATTTCAATGATTGAAGAATGCGAATCGAAGATCTCGCAGTGACAATTTTTGAAAGACTCTTTACTGAATTACCTATGTCAAGAAAGGAATATACTATTGTCCTATACTTTTATCGGTTTTTCCGTAATCGAGTTTCAGTGTTTTAACCAGATAGCCACTGTGCTCTCGAAAGGAATTCGAGGTTGAAATAAACGAGAACAATTAGTAAGAGTACGTGCTACAGTAAGTATGTCCCTGTCGTCTGATCCATTTGGACAAAAAGGCGTCCCAGTCTCACAACTTAGATTGCACGGCGAACGCGCTTTAGATAATGATTATAAAGTACCTCACTTTACTGTATCCTTGAAATACTGTTGTTCCCCTCTTTGAGATGTCCGCAGACATTACATTGTCTCTCAGATTTTATGTGAGTGAAATGAAAGGAGAGAGGAATAATTGAAAAAAAAATGCCTAAAGTAGGAGGTGATGACCAGATATATTGAATTGTGAGACAATCGAATTGGAAACAAATGGAAAGACTCAGAGACACTTATGCTAATCTTCAGGTTACTTCCCTACTATGATCAATAGACTGGCGAATAAGGCTAATAAGTTTTCAATTGTCACGTTTATTCAATAGGTGTAGGCACCTAGTGAGATTGGTTATTTGATGACCACTTTTTTGCAAAATGGTGTGTTAACCTACTGCGTTCCCTGGAATGCTAATCTTGGCTTATCTTCATTCCCACACGTCAAGCTTTTGTCATGATAGTTTCAAATCTCGAAAAAGTGTTGCTGTTGATATAAATGATTGAAAATCTTCTCAATCATAGCAATAATATAGTTAGGCTCAGTTCATCTAAGCATCAGTAACATATCGGAACTACAACAAACCTGATTTTTTACACATTTCAAGTTCAACTTGCATAATTTTAGCAAGAGGAATGTGAGATCAGAATGTGATTGAGAAATTACATAGGTGATAATTCTTGTCCCACTGGGTGTAAACATTTTCAGTCTCACCAGTTGGCGCTACAAGATCTATGTCAATGTCATAATTGCCTTATATTTCAACGAATTGTTACATCATAAGTGGATTGATATACAGGGTGGGCAATAGTGAGTCAGAGTAGGATTGCTCGGGTCCCTAGGATCATTAACCAAAAACGGATGAAAACTAGACAACAGAGTTCGTGATAATGAATCATCACCACATATCTGTTCTTGACATCACATCTCACTGGCACAATCTGTTGAACATGTTAGCCTTCATTACATCATCAGAAATACACTCACCAGCAAACAGTTCAGCCAAATTGATCGTCCTATACCTTTTTTAATTCTTGTCCGATTCTAGTGAAATCTCTACTAAATCGTGTTTATATGTTATGGAGTGTTAGCCTGAATTTTAATCAATTAAGGTTCTACAATGCTTCTGAATTTTTGTTAATGAAATTTGATCAATTCCATACTTTCTCAAAATATTTGTTTCTTGTCTTGAGAAGAAGAGAGAAGTGAATCAAAAACCATTGTCTTCAGTCCAAAACATGATGATGCCAAGTTGAATCAGTCAGTTTTCATTTTGTCAAAATTTCACAAGAATCGGAGGAAAATTGAAAAGCTGTATTTCAGCCGGTGAGAGTATTCTGAGGTGGTATTTCTTTTTCTTTCAGGTGATATGTCTCCTAGCATCAAGGAAAAACTCAGTACCCTGCTCCTCATCACCATCATTTTCATTATACGGTAACAATACTGGGTTAACTAAATCCAGGAATTGAAGAAACAAGACATGCAGGAAGAAGATATCAGTGGAGTGTGGTCAATACATGTGATATGAACGAATCAAATTTCGTGAAATGAATGTAAATAGATGTATATGTGGTTACTCAGAAGTAATTCTCTGAACGGTAGAGTGGACACTATAGGTGAGGTGAATCAAATGAAACGAAACTATCATGTACGAAATTAGCCAAAAAAAAATCACAAACCTGATTAATTGCTTCAACTGTGTGAAATATGTGAGTAGAAATCCTATTATCTAGACTCGATTGCAGTCATTTTCTTGCCTCATGAAACGTGGAGTTTGGGCTATTTTTCTCAACGATTATCCTTCAATGAAACGATCTTCCATCACCAATCAATCAAAAACACATCACATGGAACAATATTCTGATTAGGAATTTATCAATCTTCTGCTCTCTAGAGCTATTTCAGGAATTGAATATATCACACTGTCAAAATCTTTTTACATATATTCCGAGGCTTCAGCCAAATGACCGATTATGATAGCTTTCTAATTTTTATATGGGGTGTTTCAAAAAAACCTAAACCCCTTGCTAGGGTAGGTAGAACATTGCAAAATAAGTTGGGATTGCTCAGTAAAAAAATGTCGTAACGCCATCCATTTTTATATGGGGTGTTTCAAAAAACCTAACCCCTTTGCTAGGGTAGGTAGAACATTGCGAAATAAGTTGGGTTTGCTTAGTAAAAAACTGTCGTTACGCCATCCGTTTTCAAGGTATGAAACAATATTTTTTTTACACATTTTCAACGATTATGTTGAAACTACTGGCAACATTGTCATGAAATTTTGTATGGATGTTTCTTGGAATCTGACACATCGCATGCATTCGTTTTCATATCTTACTCTCATAGAGGGCGCTAGTTACACGGTTCGTACCGAGTAGTTTTGAACATAACTTTTTTGAGATTAGATTTTTCAATCCAAATTTGATGTGAACTTGAACATCTTTCAATTTCACACCAAAAAGGTCCTTTTGGTGAAACTCGATACTGTTCCGTTTTCGGAATATTCCGATTTGAAAATGATGAAGTGGTAAATGTTGCTGATATAAAGAGAGTGAGTATTATGAAAAATTATCACCTATTTATTGAAAACCGAAAACAACAATACATTTTTGATGCAAAACTCATTGATTCAACAATGAATAACAAGAATTACATCGAAACAGATTCGACTAAGAACATGGATTACACAGTTTTGTTGTATCTTGAGCAGAAAGTCTATGCTACATAGGTAAATTTACGTCAAGAGTTGTGAGACATAATTATAGAAATAACAGCTGATTCTCAACTGTTCAGAAGAGTGATTCATCCTCAAAAGAAAAATATAGAATCGTGTATTACTCGAAACGTAGGACATTTTGAACACTTACTCTAACTGATTCAATATTTCATGTTTCTAGTCAAATATCTCTTGATTTTCTACTCATGATTCTTTGTTCCATCAATAACTTCAGCACAACAATAATTCTATTGTTTTTGAACCTGAATAAATAGGTAATTCAACTAAATAAAATCCATTTTATACCAGCGTCATTACTACTCCATTATTTTCAAATCGAAATATTCCGAAAACGGACCATAGTATCGAGTTTCACCAAGAGTACCTTTTTGATGCAAAATTGAATGATGTTCAAGTTCATATCATATTTGGATTGAAAAATGTAACCTCAAAAAAACGTGTAACTAGCGCCATCTATGAAAGTCAGATATAAAAACAAATTCATGCGATGTGTCAGATTTCAAGAAACATCCATACAAGATTTCATCACGATGTTGCCAGTAGTTTCGGAGTAATCGTGAAAAATGAGTAGAAAAATGATTTTTTCAACAACTTGTATCATGAAAACGGATGCCGTAACGACATTTTTTCACTGAGCAAACCCAAGTTGTTTTGCAATGTTCTACTTACCCTAGCAAGGGGGTTAGGTTTTTTTGAAGCACCCTGTATATCCAAAATTTGGAAAACTTTTAGTGATTGACCTATAGGTACTCAGATTAGTAAAAATGTTGTGGATTCTACTTGACATGATTATTTTCTGTTACAGTACAAAATGATGAATTCCTAATGAGAATCAATTCGTGTGTGAATTTTCGTTTGTTTGGTTGAATAATTGGTTTGATATCAAAGACTTAACGTAATTGGAGTTCGTATAAGGCGTACAATCATTCAAAAACTAAACTGTAGCTATGTTTATAAATGTTTTTCATAAGATGAAAATGTAAATAGATTTGTAATTTAATTGACTACTGCCAGCAAAAAAATGAACAGATGCGATCAACTATAACTTGAAGCTTTGAAGATTAAAATCTCTAGGTATAGTCTTGACAATCGGAACAGATGCAACAAAAAACATACGCCGTACGTTGTTGGTCTGTTTGGAGTTCAAACCAAAAATCACACATACTCGAAGAGCTGCAACTGGCTCCAGAAAGACTTCACCTAGGCACAGTATTCTTGTATACTGAACTGAAATCTCAACTGAAACTCTAGAAACTGTGTACTGTATTTCAATAGGATTATGTAAACAAATGCTCGTCACACTGCCCCACCACTAACCAATCCGATTATGTTTCGCTTCGATACGTGTTTTTCTAGTTATGTTAGCATCTTCAGGAGATCATTCAACTTATTTCAAGATACACGTTCTTGATTGGTTGAAATATCTGTGTTGATAGGGGCAAACATATTATGTTTCCATTTTTGTATTTCGGCTGACGGAAAGCACATCGAAAGTTAGTTTACATTCAAGCTCCCATGCATTTTATCGAAAGTTCAGTAGTCATTGTGATATTTTTCGTGTTTGAATCCTTCAGTAGAGTATCTTGAAACATTTCTGCTTGGTTTCATATGTTATTCATGAAAGTTTTCTGCCTTCCACAGAAATTCATTTCATAATCAGTGTTTGATTGAACGATATTTTCTCAACTTCGAGTTCGAATTCAGTTGCAATTTATTCCGTGAAGTGAAGTTTCAAGTTACAGAAGGAATTTGAAAAAACGAAATCCTCACTCAAAAGCAGAAAACATTATATGTTCAGTTTTTCCTACCAAAGGTAGATCAATTATTCGCACATACATTCAGCTTCGAGGACTTCTTCTCTTTCATATAAACACATGAAAGTAGATCAATCGACTACAATGTATACATCTAAAATACCCACTCTGTGCACTTCAACATCATATCCACTCCACTTATTTTGCTTTATTTCACTACTGAATGGAAACGAAATAGGACGCATGTACGATGACCAACCCTGGAGGTGAAACATTGAAACATAACCTCACTTTTCTGTGAAGCATTGAAACACAACCTTAAATTTTTATTTGTTTACAGAGGATTCTAAAGATTGGAATAGTCCTTCACAATATTTTGGCATACGAATCGTGTTTTTTGCGCTATTCATTAATTCAAGCATGCCTTCCCATTGTGCTGTTGTACAATGCACAAAAAATGCACCGAGAGACGAAGGCATATGATTTTTCAGGTGAATAGTAATCTCACATAGTATTTATTATGGAATTTTGTGAATCCTTATCAAAATTCCTTCTGCCACTTCTGCAATAGAAGCTAGAACTGCTAATAGATTGAAAATGTCAACAACACACGATCATATTTCGTCAGCATGTCAGACCAGTACTGCTGTTTGATTGCAAGAATCCAATCTACTTGTATTCTTTCAGAAATATCACGAGTAATACTATTAGCTTCGATTGTAGAAGAAATTCCGATGAGGAATCAGAGAAATTACAAAATTTCAAAATGAAAACTATATTTGTGAGTGACTATAGTAGGTACCTACTTACTTTTGAATCATAATGTACCAACCGGATTTCTTCGTCTCTCGTTGCATTTTTCGTGCATTGCACAACAGCACAATGTGATGGCATGCGCAAATTGATGAATAGTCGAAAGAAACCATTCTCATGCCAGAATAATTGTGAGAAATTATTTCAATAATTTGTAAACAAATATAAAAAGTGGGGTTCTTCATTGAACGAATAGCTGCTATTCACAAGACTACACGAATAAACAGTTGAGAGTGAAGTTTTCTCAGCTCGAGTCACTACCAAACACTCTAAATAATACACACAAGCATATGAACCATTTCAAAACAATGTACTTTCATATATAGTCGCCTATATAATATGGAATAAGGAATATATGTCTATCATTTTATTTCCAAAACATGAACCACATGTCGATCGAGGCATTGACAAATCGGTTTGGTAAGTGGTAAAAGTGTAGTGTGAGAGGGTCAACAATATATATATTTTCACAAAATTTGAGGTTCTTTCTGAATGCGCACTTACACAAATTTTTGATGAAATCGGTTTTTGATGGCAGTAGTTGGGAAGAATCAATATTGAGATCGGTAGAAAATTCCCTTTCTCAGTAATAATCTTCCCCCATTATAAACAAAAAGATATTATGTGGTCGATGTACAAATTTTGTTACCCATTAAAATTCCGAAATACCTTCGAATAAAACTGTTGAAACAAATGATTGAAGTTTCATTTTGAATGTACACGTCGCTGGCCCTTTGTTACTCTTCCGGCCTCCGACCAAAAAAAAACGATGGGGCTGAAAACAAAAATGGAAAGAGAAAAAAATTACTCTAGTGGAAGGTATTTATAAATTTGGAGGCTCTACCGACGATTTTGAATTTTCTGCCCCGAAAAGAAACAAGGTTAACTAGAATAAAACCATTGCTTCTTTTCTGATTTCGGATGAAGATTAGATTGTGTTGGAAACATGTATACAAAATGTTCTCGAAGTGCTTAACACGAATATGAAGTCCATATCTGTCCCAATTTTTTAGTAAGTCTGAAAAATCTGGAGACTGCACGTTGACTAAGATTCCTATACAAAAAAACGATTGATAACTTCTTCCCAACTGCAAGTGAAATAGATGGTTCTGATGGAAGGTTGACAACTGCATAAGAGTCCTTTATATCATATTCGGAGACTCCACGACGATTTTGTATTTTTTGCTTCGAAAAGAAATGAGGTTTACTATAGAATAAAACCCTTGCTCCTTTATAGATTTTGCATGAGATTGTGTAAGAGACATGTTTATTAGGGGTTCTTGAAGTGCTCAACATGAATATAAAGTCCGAATCTGTCCTTGTCTCTTAGTTTTTCTGAAAAATCTGGAAACTGCACGTTGACTGAGATTCCCATACAAAAAATAATTCATAACTTTTTTTCAACTCAGAAGAGAGACGAATGTCTCTGGTAGAAGGTAGACAAGTAATGCATCCATGCCAAATATTTGGTGGCCCTACGTTGATATCGAATTTTTTTACCGAAAGAGGAAGAAGGTAACCCTTGCTCACTTTTCGATTTCGGATTGAAAGAATAGGCAAAAAACTTGTATACAAGATGTTCCCGATGTGCTGAACACGAAAATCGAAGCTTTTTTTCCCTATCTGCCCTAGTTGTCTAGTAATTCTGAAAAATCTGGAGACTGGCTGCACGTTGACTGAGATTCCTATACAAAAATCAATTTATAACTTCTCTTTCTACTGAGAAGAGAGACGGATGGCTCTGATGGGAGGTAGAAAATTGCATTAGATTCCTCCATGCCAAATTTTGAGGCGCTAGGACGATTTCCAATTTTTTACCAGAAAATAAACAAAGGTAACTTAGTGGGAAAGGAATAATCTCAGATGAAATTATGAAAATGAAAAAATGAATATACAAAGTGACCCACTTCTAATGGAAACACCCCTGTATCTTACGTAATCGTTGGGTAGGGATCCTGAACAATACAATATGTGACCAAGTGAAGTCATCTTCAGTGATATACACTGCTCGCCAGCCACTGTGGAACCACCCCGATTTTCGGAAAATGATATAAGGAGTCGAAATAGGTTGAAAATCACTCCGGATTCGGAATCACGACGCCCAATTCACTAACTATTTATAATTCCCCTGGAAAATTTTCAGTTCAGAAAAATCGAATTTTGTCTCACTTCTCATGGAAGCACCTCCGTATCTCACGTAATCATTGAGGTAGGGTTATGAAATTCGCAGGAGGAAGGAAAAGTCGAAGATGAAGTCGATTACGTAAGATACGGATTTGCTTCCGTGAAAAACGCGAAAAAATTTCATTCTTCAGAACTGAAAATCTTCTAGGAAATATATGAATAGTTAGTGATTCCTGATTCCGAATATGAAGTGATTCTCGACCTGATTTGACTCCTAATATAATTTTCCGGAGATTGGGGTAGTTTCATGACTGTTGGCGAGCAGTGTATATCACTGAAAGATGAGCCCACTTGGTCATAGAGTGCATTTTTGTATATCTCTCACTCCAGCAAATTTCAGGATTCGAACCCAACGATTACGTAAGATACAGAGGTGTTTCCATTAGAAGTGAGTCACACTGTATAAAGAAATACATTGAGAATAAACTCTTTGTGATGAAATTATCAATTTTTTCTAGGTTTATTCAACAGAAAACATCTACTTTCCAGGCTATATGCCACGACGAACATTGAATTATATTCTATTGAACACACATGATAGCAATTCGAAAACAAAATCTCCTGAAGTTGAGAATTCGCATTCTCCTCAAGATAAATAATACTCTCATCC